GATACCGGGTCAAATAGAGAATCCTAATTGGAGAAGTGCCATAACATGTGAGAAAAATAAAATGCCAGAGCTAACAGAAGCTCCTCAAAATTTACCCGTTTGTTAAAAATGAACCCACCAAGTTAGAAAGAACAAAACAACACCTCAAAAGAAAAGAAAAAAGGGTTATACAATAAGTTGATACAAAATAAGAAGTGAGCTTTACATCAGTCAGATTATTTAAGAGTACCATTCACTACATAAGGTGCTGCTTTGAGCAAAATATGTTTAAAAAGATATCTTAAAAGTCAATCTTTCAGCCTACAAGAGTGTAGATTCAAGTATATACAGGAGATACAGTGTTCCTTTCAGGTATTTAACAAACTGAGCAGACCAATTTTGAAAGAACAAAACAACACATAAAAAAGGAAAAAAAGGGTAACACAATAAGTTCATACAAAATCGAGAAATGTTGGGTTCGGTCCATAAATTAGACCTTTAAATCATTCAGCTTATATCCTAATCAAAGTTACACCTTCAAATCATCCAGCTTATATATCTACTAAGAGTTCCATTCACTAATAAATGGCAGCTCTGAGCAAAAATACATAAAAGAAATTCAATCTTTCAGCCTACAAGAGAGTAGCTTCAAGTATATACAGCAGATATAGGGATAAATAGACAGCTCTGATTGGAAAAAGTGCTACAACATAAAAGAAAACAAATGTTAAAGCCCAGAACAAAAGCTCCTTATATTCCTTTTCAGGAATAGAACTTGATAAAACTGACAAAATGAACACCACCAAGACAGAAAGAAGTAACCTAAGTTGCGCGGACTCTTCACTATAGATTCCGCACGCGTGTCAGAATCTCCAAAAATACACTATTTGGAGAATCCAACATTCACCCATTGACATTTTTAAAGAGTCCGAGCAACAACACCACAACATCAATATTACACAACAATATCAACAAGCTTATATATTACTGTGAGTTCTATTCATCATGTAAATGGCTGCTCTGAGCAATAAATTGTTAAAAAAGATTCAATCTTTCAGCCAACAAGAGCATAGCTTCAAGTATATACAGAGAATTCCAATCATCAAAGTACCAACAGAAGCTACTCAAACTTCCCATTTGACAAAATAAGCAATACAACACACCAAAAGAAAAAAAGGGGTTACATAACAAGTCCATACAACATCAAGAAATGATCTTTTTCCAGTTTCTATCCACTTTCAGAAGCTCAACAAACAACAGGCACAGCAAACTGAAAGAATATAACACAAATTACTACAAAATGAGAAAAAGGGTGTTCAATGCTATACCTTTCTTGAGTAAAAAAACACCTGCCTGAAAAATGTAGTAACAGCACTGCCATAGCCAAGAACTTGAAGGTTGGTCCAAACAAACCCTACTTAGTCAAACTGATTTTAACACACTCACTCTCTCTCTCTTTTCTTGAAAAAAAAAACTTAAAGCTTTGTTCTTTCTTCTTTATTTGTCTTGTACTACCATTAAAGACACTGAGTTTTCAAACAGTGAAGACTATTTCTTTGTTTTGAAGATTTTTGTGAGCGTTTAAGAAGTGGGGTTTTCCCGAGGTGCACGAATTACGAGGAAGAAAAGAGAGGAAGGGGGCCAAAATGTGCATAGGGAATAAGTTCGAAACGGCTACACACAGCACAGCAGCAGCAACAGAGCTCGTAATTTTCAAAAGTAGTCAGAAATTGTTCCCACTAATGTTTATGGTAACACTCCCTCCAATTTTATTTTCTTTTAATCAAACATCCTATTATCAGAAGCGAATTCAAAATTTGATAATTGAAGCCATGGTTACAATTCTACAATTTCAAACTTTATTCTAAGAATTGAATCGTTCAGAAACATGAAAGATCGTTTATAACTGACTTGAAAGCGGCATAACTTAGTGTGATTGGAATTCGACTTCCTTATGACCACAACTTACTTACTTATATTGTATTTCTTCATTTGTTAACTCCGTCCAGGGGCGGATCTATATCTATGAAGGGGTGTGGGGTGCCAATTTCGACGGAAACTCTCTCTCTCTCTATATATATATATATATATATATATATATATATAAATATAAAGTGTGCCCCCCTGAGAACAAAATTGGTTTGTGGTGCCATGGTAGGAGGGCAACTTTAGAAGGTTGATGTTGCGGGTTCGAATTCCATTTGTACCTATTTTTTTGAGAAATTTGCTGCAGACGTTTTTTAAGAAAAAAAAAGGCTCCAAACACGTTTTTTTAAGGAAAAACAGCTGACACATTATTTTATTCTTTTTATAATTGTTATTGACTTAAATTAAATTAATTACATTATTACTCCTTTTACTTGTAAAGTTGACTTTGATTTTACTTGTTGCTACGGCAACTGTGGAGAGAGCATTTTCGTCAATGAAGCACATAAAAAATGAAGTGCGGAATAGTATTGGTAATCAATATTTAAATGATTGTCTAGTGTGTTACATAGAGCGTGATGTATTTATAAATGTTAGTAAAGATGTCATTATCGATCGTTTTCAGAATATGAAAACTCATCGGGGACAATTGTAAATGAATGATGAATATTTATAATTTTAGTAATATTATTGAAAGTTTTAAATTTGTTAACTTCATGCTTTTAGTGTGGAGTGTGGATTTGTAATATCTTATTATTTATATTTTATTGATTGATTTATGATATATATCAAAATGACGAATAATTTAATCAAATATAAAATTAATTTAATCGATATGTCTATTTGACATTCACGGACTCTAAATCCTAAATCCGCCACTGATCCGTCTGTATGTGAACATGAACTTAGGACGCGTTGGACCAATGCACCAATTATAGATGATTTACGTTTAATTATTTTGAATAATACTTTAAATTTTCATGTATAACCATGATTGTTGAATTGAAATAGATTCACGCTCGATTATTTCAAATAATATTTATATTTATAGGCTTCTCTTACACTCAATTATTTTGAATAATTCGCTCTCATATATTTCGTCTTGTTATTAAACAATCCAACTAATTTAAAATTGAGACATAGTTGATTTTATATCCTTTCCATAAAAAATATATTCATCCATAACTCACCCAATATATTAAATTCACAATTCTTGACAATAACAATCGCTTGAATATAAGTCCACAATTCCCCTATTAGTCTCTATGCTATAATTTGTTTTTCTTACTTTAATTTTCAATTTATTTCGATTTTTTTTTCTAATTTGATAATTCTTTGATTTCGACATTTTATCTGATATGTATAAGATCACAAAAGAGCACTTTAATACATCACACATATCTTTCATTTCATAAAATTTTAAAAATATTCAAATTTTGTATCCAGTTAAACTAACACAAATAAATTAAAACACGAAGAGTAACCATTTAATGATAAAACCTTTGCCTTGATATTCAAGCAAAGGCCAAGGATGTCAGTGGCAATTAATTATTTGATTTCACAAGACTAGAAAGAAGCAGCTCTTATTTATTGCATAGCCCAAAATTTGCATGGCTAGCTTACAACTTTGAGCTACATCCATAACATGTAACAGCCAGTATAGTCTGGTCTCCAGAAATAGCGTTTACCGATCACTTTTTGACTCTATCTTTAAAAAAATATTGTAATCACGGAGTTACAAATAAACTCGATGACACTAGCTATTTTTCAATTACAACTGCTAACAAGTGACTATTACATGTAGATTTAGAATTTTAAATTTATGCATTCTAGATGATAGGACATCAATTGTGTTCAGGATAGGTTACATACACATATTAAGTAGATTTATAAATAAAGGATCCAAGCAAAAGTTAGTGAATTCTGCAGAACCCTTAACTTCAATGGTAGATCTGCGCCAAATGCCAATCATAGTCTTTTTGGGCGATAGTAAATAACAATGTTCACTAGAAAAGCATTCAAGAGAGAAGTTATAGAGCATATACCACCACCAACAACAACAGCTACGCCTTAGTCTCAAACAAGTTGGAGTCGCTATAGATCAATCCCCACTTTCATTTCAATTCATGAAGAGAGGTCCCCTAAGACAAAACCACCTTACACATAATTTAGCAAATGAGAGGTTGAATGGCAAGAAAACAAACAACAACAACATACTCGGTGTAATCCTAGAAAGTGGGATCTGGGGAGGATGAGTGTACGCAAACCTTACCCCATACCCCTAAAGATAGAGAGATTGTTTCGGATAGACCCAAGACTCCATGAAAATGAATGACAAAGAAACAATCAAAAATATTTGAAGGAAAGTAGGGAACAGAGGCAATTCTGAGTAACAGCTTAGCAAACATAAACAGCTACAATATATCATGCAATGTGTAACAAAAGATTTCAATTATTGCCATGGTGAAGCAAGAATTCTTGAACTAATATACATATTTGAACGTAAAAGACATGAATGTATAACTCTACAAAACACGCGTTTATCAGGTCAGAGTCAGTTCAAAGAATACACCATTAACTCTACAAAACGCGCGTACAAAATACTGAAATAGAGATCTTTTCTAGTTTTCCCCAATACTAAAGGAAGACATCAATCATTAAGCTAATCAGAAGGAGTTGTCATATGATTGCAACAGCAACAATATATCTTCGAAGGACCATAGCAGCAACACTCCAGGTTAGCCAAAATAATTGACTAAAGGAGAGTTACACACGAACTCCATTATTCGAGACAATTCAGTACTACATATGAATTCAGTGCTTCAGTGCAATACAAATGCTTTCTTTAAATGGTTACACCAACAAACTTGTTTAAACTTTAAATGGGGAAAAAATGGTTGCAATAAAAACGCCTGCAGCTGAAAGAAACGTACTAACAGAATTATGTCGCCTAGTCCGTTCATGGAACTAGTCAATCAAGATAACACATCCAAATCTAGTATCAAGTGAGATAAAAAGGGTAAGTAAGAAAGCCCAACATAACCAAAGCGCTATCAAAAAATTGTAACGTCCATACTCGGTCAGGTAAAAAAAAACTCGACTTCTTCAAGACAAGCTCTAAGTTTATGATTTTCTTGCAAATCGAAGGAAGCACAAAATACCTATCACAGCAACTGCAGCAACTGAAGATGCAGCCGCCATTAATAAGTCGACATTGCCACCGGGAGCTTTAACCTTATCCTCAGCTGAAATGCCATCAATATTGTTGTCGATGCCTCTTTCAGTAATCAATGTTTCCTTCTCCTCCAACTTCTTCTCCAACTCAGTCACTTTACTCATCATTTCTATAACCCTCTTCTCTAACTCATCTTTCACCGTATGAAGCGCCTCCTTCTCCCTTTTCCACGCCTCATTCTTCTTCACAGTTGCCTTTAAATCCTCGAGTTGATTCTTCAAGCCCCTAATTTCTTTCTCCTTCACTTCTCCTTCAGTTCGATGATCTTTTTCACTCACTTCCAACTTCTTAACTTTCACCAATAACAAATTCCTTTCAGTCTCAATGGCTTCCAGTTTCACATTCTTCTCATTGTCACAACTCTTTAACCCCTCTAGATCCAACTTCAGTTTTGATAGCTCAGAATTCGATTCTTCCAGATCGTTCACTGAAGTTATGAGATCATGCTGAAGCCGAGACTGTTCACCCTCGAGCTCTGCTGCTCGGCCAGCTACCGATCCTAGAGCCTTATTCTCCGACTCAATCTTCTCCGCCTTCTTCTGTAACTCCACTTTTTCGTTCTGGATTTCCTCAATCGAGTGCTTAGATTTCTCCATCTTCTCTTTGATGACTTGATTCTCGCGAAAAAGTTGATTATTCTCTTGCTCTAAAGCCGCTATCTTGTGTGTCAGTGGAGCAGTTTTCAATGCAGCATCCGAATCTTCCTCTCCTTCGATCTCCACAGCATCATCAAAAACATCTCCATTGGCAGCATTCTCTTCCGCCATAGTTAAACCTGAAACTAATCCAACAACATTCAACAACTACTACGCCTCAGTCCCAAATAAATTGGAAATCCAAGAATATTCCTACCAATCAATAAATCCAAAAAAATAAAACATTAAGAAGATCAAAAACACCCTATTCAACAACAACACCATCATCATATCAGATGAAATACCGCTAAATGGGGTCTAGGGAGGGTTGAGTGTGCACAGACGTTACGTTACCACTAGCTCGTAGAGGTATAGAGGCTGTTTCCGAGAAAAACACCCAATTCACTGACCCAGAAATTAAAATTTTCAAAATCATCCAATGATGAAAAAACTAAAATTAATCGAAAAAATTGAAGAACACACAATTCATTGATCCAAAAATGAAAATTTTCAAAATCACCCATTGATGAAAAAACTAAAATTAATCGAAAATTTTGAAAAACACTCAATTCACTGATCCAAAAATGAAAATTTTCAAAATCTCACCCATTGATGAAAAAATTAAAATTAATCGAAAAATTGAAAAACACTCAATTCACTGACCCATAAAATGAAAAAATTTCATAATCACCCAATGATGGAAAAACTAAAATTAATCAGAAAATCTGAAAAACATCCCATCCACCCAGGAATGAAATTTTTTCAAAATAACCCAATGATGAAAAAACTAAAACCAATAAAAAAAATGATTATTTTTTTTCTAAATCACCATAGAATTCGAATTACAAATACAGCATTTCCCTTATTAATATGTATTCAACCAAAATAACATCTACCCTTCAACCCCAAACTAACAAGATCCTCAATATCCATTTTCATTCCATATATACATACTCAAATTCTGCAATTTCATATAAAAAAAATTATTAAAAAATTGGGAAATGTGAAAGCTTACCTGAGAAATGAAGAATGTGAGTTCGATTTGGATTAGGGTTTTGCTTTGTTACTGTATTTGATTCTAAAAGATCAAAAAAAATTTCTTATTCGATTGTGATTTTTGATTGAGCAAAAATTAGAATCATGAAATGATTTTTCATAATATAAAGGCCCAAATCCATTGGGCCTAGTTTAGTGGTAGTAGGGTAACCTATTATATTTGTCGAGAGTCTATCATAAACCGTCTCTCTATTCCACGTGGATAAGGGTAAGATTTCGTACATGATACACTGCATTTATATAATCACACTAAATATGTTATTGTATGTTTGTTGTTGTGTATAGAGAGTATATTTGTGGATTATATAGATATTATTTTGTGATTATATTATTTATATAGGAAAAATGACAAATATACCTCGAACTACCGTAAATGGTATGCAGATACCCTCTGTCACACTTTTAGGACATTGATGTCCCTGACGTCCAAAAACTAGAACATATATACCATTTATACAAACGGACATATATGTGTCATAATCTTATCCACCGACCCAACATTTATTAAATATCGGACTGACGGATAAGATTATACCATGTGTCCCTATTTAGTCTTCCGTTAGAGTGAAAGGCATATATGATCTAGTTTTTGGACGGCAGGGGCACCAGTCCCAAAAGTATAACGGAGGGTATCTGCATATCATTTACGATAGTTCGGGAGTATATTTTTTCTTTTTCCCTATTTATATTGATCTATTATGTTAAAATCGAAAATATATAAAGTATTTCTTTCGATATGTATAATCTTATAGTAACTTTATCGTAACGAATTAAACGATATTGTGTTACGTGAGTTTCGTGACACTATAAGTTGAATGAGCTTCAATATAACACTTGATGTCTCGCATAAGAAAGAAAGAATAAAGTGTTGTAGAATGAAATGGGGTGAAGAAATAAAGAGATTCTTCTATAGTGAAATCATTTTAAACAAGAAATATTTTGTTATCGCATTATCGATTTGTTATATGGTGTAAAGGTTAAGGTATGAGTGGGATTGAAAGTGTGAAAGGAAAAGGTGTAAGAGAAAATGATCTTTAATATTAGCTTCTTTTTTTTCAACTCTGGTGTTTGGGCTCTGCATAAGTTTGATTAAATTTGAATTTTTTAATATATTATAATTAAGTCAAGGATTTATCGAAAAATATTTTTTCTATTTTCACAAGGTAGGAGTAAAGATGCAATCCTCTCTAAATCCTATTTGTGAGATTATACTGGATATGTTGTTGTTGTTGCAAATTACAGGTTCCATTACTAAAAACAATACGCTCCTCAAGACTACTGATTAAGTATGAATGGATCTTAACCATCTTACCATCACCCAAGTTAATAAATCTTTAATAGACTATAACTCCAATTTATGTGTGACTGATTATCTATGTTCTATTTTCCTCCATCTTTTTTTTTGTATCAACTCAATCAATATGATTCTCCAATCTTGTGAAAAATATGTTTTATAAGTACTCGTTCATTCTTTTATCACATCTTTTGAGTTTGAGTTATGAGTAAATCATTGTTTTTGTTTAGTATAAACTTTTTAACATGAATCTAAATTTAATCGAGCCTCATATAAATATATATCAAACACCAATGGAAAAAAAAAAAAAAAAAAAAAACATCCTTTGACAAAAATTAACATTGTACTTGAGGACAAGGAAAATATCAAAATCTCCTAAGAAGTCCTTTATGTATAAGATCTCATGATGTTAAAGCTTCCTTTTTTTGTTTCCTACACAAAATTTCTAAATTTAGACAAATTAGCATTTTTGTTCTTAAAACTCATTCAAATAATTTTTTATTCACCGTTCGATATTTGTTTTGAAGCATGATTAATTTAAATTTTGGAGTAAAAGTTCTTTACTCGAATGATTCCGTACTCAAAAATAAAACCCCAACTTTTAAAATAAAAAATAGAAGAATACTTATCACTCTATCATAACTTTAGATAATTATTTAAACTACTTATAAATATATGTTAGACAAAAATATTCCAAATAATTATTAAATATTAGATAAGGTAGTTGCCAAGTCTTATAGGATGTGTGTAATTAAGTCAAAGATAATTATGGGGTTGCTTTCTTCCTAAAGTTTGACAAGCATATTATCCAACTCATATAGGCTATAATTTTGTCATTTTTTATTATATGATATGAACAAGTGGCCCAACACATTTTTATGACTTAATTCAGTTCTAAAAATAAAATACATAATTATTGTGATTGTGATAGTAATGATTAAACTATATACAATTTATCAAAATATGTTATTCATAATATGTGTGTGGATAATCTTATAAATTCTTATTTTATTTTTTTAGTAGCCAAAATTAGACAGTAACTTCAAAATGCACATAGACTTAAATATAGTTTATAAATGAATTCATGACTATTTTATAAATAATTATATTTAGTCAAAAAATCAGTATAGTTCATTATTTGTTGATTTTTATTGATATAATTGTGAGTTTATATTTATTCTATAAATAATCAAGGAAAAGTAAAAAAATCAGTATAGTTCATTATTTGTTGATTTTTTGATATAATTATAGTTTATATTTATTCTATAGTAATCGAATATAAATGTTTTTTTTTCTTTTTCTTATATATGAGAATATAATCTAGCATGAATTCACAATAATTCTCTATTTTATTCATAATAATTCTTTTGTTACCTAAATAAGCAAAAAAAAACAAGTATTTCATTGAGAAACTTCTCAAAGCATAAAATTCTCAATAAGAGAGCTTAGATCAAATCAATAGTTATATATCAGTTTTATCCAAGCTCTTCAGATTAAAATGAATTTGATTGACCTTTTATGAATATACTAATTGACGTATGAAAACAACCTTACTCGTATATATATGTGTGTTTTGTTTTCTCAAAATTTTCATGTGTAAAATAACTCAATTATTATTAATTATAGTATCTATTTTTAGTTTAATTTATTACTTGATATATCAATCGTGGAAGATTTTTCACGCCATGTCATTAAAAGTCAACTAATGACTATTGTAAGCATTAATTAAGAGTATATAAGTAAGTAAAACATGAAAACTCAATTACGTGTATAAGACATTTACATTATTTGTGTATAAAAAATTAAGTCATATCCATATTACTTATTAGTACACCAACAATCTAATTTCATATGATTTAAGAATTATATATATTATATATATATTAAGGAAGTTCACTAATTTTTATATATTAATTTTCTAAGACATTGAAAATTTGTGTAATTTTGTAAAACGTGTTCAATTTTAGTTGAGACTCTACAAGATATATTCGATTCCAATTAGGATTCTTGAAGGTTATTCTACTTTAAACTCTAGTTCACGTCTATATAAAAGTAACATCTCCAATACTCAACAAATTTATGAAATATTCACAAAGATCAATGATAAAAAACATCTCGAATATTCTGCAAATTTATGGAATATTAACGGCTTTCGGAGGAATCTAAAGAGAGAAAAGAATCAAGGGAAGAACAAAATTGTACCTATATTATTTTATCAATAACATTCTTGTTTCTTCAGGTTTTGTTGATATTCTTGTTTGTTCGAGTTTTGTTTATATTCTTGTTTCTTCGGATTTTGTTTATGGTTGATTTTGCTCATATATCTAAGAGTTTTTTTACACAAACCTCATAGTGTTAAGAGTTAATTACATCATTTTCCTATTTTTTTTCAAATTACAAAATCCCTTAAATTTGGTGGAATTCGGATCCCAAAACGTCCAGATACTTCACATCTCGGTTTCTGATACATCCCTTAATGTCCCAATTCATTGGGTCTCGGTTTCGGAATCATCACTCAATGTTACGATGTACAAAGTGATGTATATCCGAGAATAAGAGAGAGTATGAATTTTTGTGATTTTTTCAAATGGTAGGAAATTTTTAAAAAATATGGTTAAATAAGTTGTGTATTTAGATAAAAAAAAAATTAAAAAAAATTTGTTGCAAATACTATTTTTTAAAATATTCCGCTAACTATAAAAGTTCTATTTTGCATGATCTTTACAATTTTTAAACATTTGGTATTTGAAATTCATAGTTCAATCGATTCGATGAGTACATAGAAGTCATTAAAGGGAGACACATTATTTAATAGCACTTACTCTGTCTTTCATAAAGAATTTATCTTTTTCTGTTAATTCGTGTGAATTGAATAAAAAAATATTTAATAAAAATTAAAATTGAATCGAAAAGGAAATCTTTATTAATTCTACAAATCGATTGATTTTATTCCCTATTTCTTACAAGAGGATGAATTATTTTCTTGAAGGATTAAAGATATTGGGTTCAAATCTCCTAAAAAAATAATTTGAAAGATTCAAAATAAAAAATAAATAACATTTTCTATGATAATATGTGTACAAATCAGGTTTCATTCATGTTACACCATAGTTTAATTTTATACCTATGGTAGAGTCAATTCTCTTATGATTCTATTTTGTGCACAATATATATTGTTATTATATAATTATTCTAAACATTATTTCTACACCTCTAACTATATAAAAAATATACTTTTCAGTAACTTACAAATTTTTTTTAACTTCGTTGAGAAGAAAAAGAAAACTATATCCTAAAATTTATATTTAATGAGCAAGTGGAATTTAGCAATGTTTATATCATGTGAGTGAAAAAATCAAACCTTCTTATCCACTATTTTTTGAATGTTGAGATGAGTAATATGTGTATTATTGCTATCCTATATATTTGTGTAAATTTGAAGTACCGAAATTGCCCTTTTTTAAATTTGATACTTGTAACTACGCAACTTGATTAATTCATATATTTTGTATTGCGTAAGGATCATTAAAGAATGAATTACTATATACTAGGAGGTTTTCTATTTCAGGACACAAATTCGAAATCTCATTTTAACACTTAGAAGATATAATTTATTGGAGTAACGTTAACTAGGAATAGTTTAAGCTCTGATTCCATTTGACCTTTGGTCGTAGAATTTGAAGTTGAAATTTAAAATTTTGAAATTATGAAGTTGTGATTTTTGAAATTTGAAGTTATGTTTGAACATGTATTTTACTTTAAAAAATTTGAAGAAATCTAA